AAAAAAAGCCCTTTTAGGTGCAAAATTAAAGATAGACCCAGCACATATTACCAGAATTTTTCGATATACTTCTATATATACATGTATCACATTGTCCATGAAATAACAATGACCGTGATGTAATACATTTGATATAATGATAATTCTTCAACTAATATCAAGTGGCCCCCGTGGCGCAATGGACTAGCGTGTTGGACTTCTAATTCAAAGGTTGTGGGTTCGAGTCCCACCGGGGGTGTTCTTTTTAGCTTTTGAAAGGGGAGATATTAAATCCAGCCAAAATTTTGTCATCTACAATAGCTGTTCTTAACTGTTCTCTTCATGGCCTTTCAGTGTTAGCCACGAGTTTGCTGTTACAGCTTTGCGCGTTTAGTGTATTTGCATGAATGTTCTCGGAATTTCTGTCCGTTATGGACGGGTTAACATTTCGCTAGGCCACTTGTAACTATGTTGGTCAGCGGTAATGCCCATTTTGACTGTCGATGCTTTTATTTCACGTGGACTTTTCAGGCTTTCGGGTTCTTTTCAACAATTCATCTTTTCGACGTTCTTAGCTTTGAAGTAGCTAGCTAGGTAAGTTCATATGTAACAGTTTACTGAACAGCAAGTTAAAAATATCAATTATTTAATTATACTGAACTAAACGTAGAAAGAAAATTAAATCTAACTTTAAAAAAAAACGTCTTGGAAACTATTGGTTGGGAGCTTCTAAAACCCCTTTATAATGTCATTTGGAGGTTACAAGCTAACTAAGCGTAAGTGTTTTTGTAACAGTTTACAGAACGAGTTAAAAATATTAATTTTAAGTAGCATTGGTTAAAAACTGTAATGTTGTCATAGAAGTTGTGGCCACCTGATTGAGGATATGTCTGTGAATACTGAATTAAATAACAGTTAAGCTTATGGCTTGGCGGTGACATAGTGAAGTAGGCTTGTTCATGGGGCGACTGGACTTCATAGCAATTTATTTTATTCTGAAATAATCCTCATTGTTTATTATGAAATAATCATTACATTTGTTTGTTATTATAACAGTCTGCATACCGTTTCAATTAGTCTTTAAGGGTCACTTCAAACAAGAGTCTTCACCACTAACTGAGTTTATAACCTTATCTTTAAAATGTGATTGAGGGGTTTTAAAAGCTCCTAACCAATAGTTTCTAAGAAGTTTTTTTTTTTTTAAAAAAAAGTTAGCTTTAATTTTCATTTTACCTGTAACTGAGTATCATATTTACATGTAGCCGAGTGTGATTAAAATAAAAGGTGCTTAAATTAAGTATCCTTTCCTATCCTATTATCTAGTAAGTTATCAACTTGCCTGTCAATATCTAACTCTGTTGACGGGGAGGGACTTGGAGACGACACTTGTACCTGTGGCTGGGGGGTCTGGGGGTTCCGAAATGCAGCACTAACAGTCGTACCTACATGTAACAATATGAATTTTTAGTGTCTATTCATAAATACTGCACTAGTCTTGTAACCAACATTTAAATCATAGACCTGATCAAGAAGGAAAATAATATGATTTTGAAACCTGATCCATTCAATGATGTAGTCAGTCTTACTGACCATATCAATATATTATTACATGTATAAACCAGACAAACATAATGAAATACACATGCATGATGCTCATCATCATCACTATGACAATCATTCATGAACATCTCTGCTTATCTGTAGAATCCTGTTCTAAGCTACATGTACACTGTTGAATCTGCAGCTACTGAGTACTAGAATTTGCACCAACACATAGTTATCGAATTTTTACTATTAATTATGGTTGAATACATGTAAGACTGAACTCACTTAGCCGTTTCCACCGTTGGCTGCTTGCTGATGAATGTGCACTGCCAGGTCGCTGCTGAGTTTGTTGTGGGTCAAGGTGTTCCCCAAAACTAAACATGAAAAATAAATTTAATTCAATTTTTTTTTCATTTGAAGCAAGATACAAAGAAAAATCCAACTAAAAACTGTTAGACTAGTGATTGCTCTAAAACTTTAAAAATGTTTAATTTATGAGTGATTAACTTACCCTGATTCAATCTCTCTAGTTGGACTGGTAGATACTGGAATCATATAACTGTAAATTATGATAAAAAAAATAGAATTATGAATAATACAATTAAAATATATTGAATATGTATTTCCTGCTCTCTTAAATATATATATAAAAAAAATTTAAGAAAACCTTTTAAGTTCAATGTCCAATTCATCATCTGAATCTTCACTGTCTGTAGATGCAGGTTTCATCTGATTCTTTGCATCTTCTTCTTTCCTTTTTCTTTCCTTCTCAGCCTCAGCTTGCTAAAAAATATGCAAGGACTTTATAATAGAATTTAAGGACTCCATACATCAATCAAGGTTAGATCAAAATTTAAGCAGTTTATATAAATTTATATATTATTTTACATAAATTTAAATCATTTGGGGGTACAAGTAAAGACCCTTCTGGATCGCTCATTGACTGTGACAGCCCTTGTACATGTAATAAAAAATAACAATATTTAAATTTATACTTCTAACTTATCAAGCCAGAAATGTGGCATTAGTTTCTCATTTCCTGTGAAATGCTGACAGTATATATTCTTTGCACACATACTGTACAATATAAATGTATTTACATGTACATGTAGTCTGATCATCTAAAATAATGACATTTACTTTCATGAAAAATGATTTGCTTTTAATAGTAATTACTTGAAACTGTACATGTACATGTAGTTAACAAAACTTCACATTTTTAAATTTGCAAATATTACATTTTTCAAAAATTTCATTTGTTCATAAGATACCTTTCTATTTTGTTCCTCTTGGACAAGCCTGTACAATCCAAAGCCAAGTCTAACAGCATGGATCATTTTCCTAGTAAAGAGAGTATATCATATTTAAGATATTGTGTATACATTTGTTTCAATGCCTTCTTGGTTTAATACACAACTTATATCATGTAATTTAATAGCATTAGTAAACTCATCAACAATAGATGACCTTAGGGAATAGTGCCTGCAGAAAGGATGGTGGAGTCCTAGAGCAATTATCTAAACTGAGCACGTAGAGTATTCATGACAACCCTGTGAGTGGCAACGATCAGTACCATCACACTTAATAAACAGTGGAAACACAGGATACTTGCCACATACCTACCATGAAGACAAGTGAGATGGGTGGACTGGGAGAAAAGCTTAACGAGATCTGTCTGACAGCGAAAAACACACAGAATGACTTGACATCCGAAGCCAAGCTGTAAAATTAAGGTGCCCCAACAGAAATCCCTTGGCCACCCCGTACACCACCCTGAGGGAGACTGCTAGCCAACAATATGGTTTCGTTTTTAACTTAACCTAAATTACATTCAGCCACATTAATACCAACCTTCCCTTGTTGACCTGTGCCTTGATGTCATTTATAACTTTTGGCTTGTAGTTTGTCGGCTGTGGCACAACAGGTTGCTGATCCTTTTCAAGATGTGAAACACAGAAATTAAAAAAAAAAAACAAAAAAAAAACGGGTACATTTGATGTATCAGTTGTAAAACTGGTAACATTCCACAAATCTTTAAAAATTAGAATGCGCATTTAAATAACTCCAGATGGAAGTCTCAGAAAAATCCATTTTTTTTCTAATTACTCATAATTTTTGTCAGTAATGGTAAATGATTGAAAAAATGATCAATCAGGAACTTGTTATTTTTGTACCTTGGATTGTCGTAGGGATTCTTCATCTTCAGATTCTGACTCTCCTGATGATGATGATGATTCATCTTGAATCTAAAATACAGAAGCAAGTTTCATTACATTTAGTTATTAACCTTTATGAACTTGTGGGAAGCATGCATTGTGGCCTAAATGGTTATGCACTGTACTACAGACTAAGCCATCCGGGTTTGGGCCCTGGCCAGGGTCACTGTGTTGTGTTCCTCAGAACTCCTAGCTGCTCTATGATACAGAAACCAGAGTTACAGTGTAAGTACTGAGAGCTACATGTATGAGCCAGCTGCCAGCTTAGGCTTTAATTTACAGTCAAACCTCTGGTTGTGACCACCTCTTGTAAGCGACCACCTCTCCTCAGCGACCAGTTTTCCAAAATACCAAAAGTTTTCAAGTCACATCACTATATTTGGAACCTCTTGCAAGCGACCACCTCTCGTAAGTGACTGCTACCACTTTTAGAGCTGAAAGTTTGAAATTTTCTTTTGTTTTTAACCTCCAGTGAGCGACCACTGGACAGATCATAATTATTTTTATTGAGCAGAAATTGGATAATAAGGTGTTGTAACATTATTGCATTCCTGGGTAGTACCATAGAGAGACGGAAATTTTCTCAGTGGGAAGTACCACATGTTTTTCTCGGAATTGACTTTTCATGTGAATAAGTCATTTAAAACATGGGGTACATGTAAGTCTCTGCAGTTAGCATATGCTAATGTGTAGTTCCAGAAAATATCCATACCTCCCCCATGGAAGGGATTTTTTCCAAGACCCCCCAGCCTCTCTGGAAATTCCAATTAAACTTGATACATTTCTTTAAATTTTTTGGTCTTAGGGAACCCCCCCCCCCTCCCCCCACAGGAAATTCCAATCCTTTCTGTGGGGGGAGTATGGATATTTTCTGGTACTGCACAATGAGGCAAAATTTTGACCCAGTATGGTCTAAACTCTTGTAAAGCAACCACCTCCCATAAGTGACCATCTTAAGGCTTGACATTTCATTGAATTACATGTATCTGTGTTATTTTGTACTCTTAAATCCAACAGGCTTAAGGTGTCAGGATTTAGTGGTGTCTGTAAACTGAATTGTACATTAATTAGTTAACCCAGAACCTGTATTTATTAATTACTTTCCTACACCTTAGTCATGTTAATTAAAAAATGTTAATTCAAAAATGGCCAGCAAGATCAGAAACAAATATGAAACGGGTTATGAACTCCAAGAGATAATTTCATGAATGATGCAACAGTTTCTACTAGTTTATGTATAATAATAGTCATATTAATGCATGACCAGTGAGTCATGCAGACTGAATAATTTGCCATGATCCCTGAACAAATGTCATGATTCTAATTATTGCTCTTAGTTTTTTCATGAATTCATAATGTCCAACTGAATCTTTATTTATGAAGAGCAAGCGATATCATAATCCAGGATATAATGTTGACAAAGTGTCAACTTGCAAAGCCGCATTTATAATTCATGCAATTTCATTGGAGTAATTGTCGCGGCCTTCACTCAAGAAACTTTTTTAGCTCCGTGTTCATGTTAAATTGACCACTTAAACAAACAGTATGAGTTTTCATTTACTCAGAGATCAGAGCAAGCATATGTTATTTATCGTGATCCAAACGGGACGAAATGCACTGTGAGAGCAAATGGAACCTAAAGCACGCGCTCCAAATGTAACCGTTTTATAAATCGAATTATGTTGTAAAAATAATCAAATAATGAAGGCGACAGGTACTTTGGGAAGTCAAAGACGCAGAAAGCAAATCGAGAAATCGCGAGCACGATGAAATATTTTTAAATGTTCAGATATTGGGCAACAATTAGGCAATTAGGAAGGTACTCGACCAGAACATCTGCCTATAAAATTTAATTATGCATGAAAATTTAGCGATACGATTAATTCTCCAAATCCCGAGTTATTTGGCACAAAGATTCGCTTCATCTATTTTGCTGCTGCTAAAGTCGCAATTCACTTCCTTGTTTATAATAGTGTGATCTGAGTATCTTCTCAATATTGAACTTATTCCAGACGAAAACATATAAATGATAAATAGCCGTCAAAGTTATTCGGATCAATTTGAATTCAGACGTCCACAACATCAAAACATTAATGGCTTATTTGGCACTCTAAATCATTTATTGAAACTCGCATCTCGTTGAACAAAACTTGAGATGTCGATCGTGATAAATTACCTCACATCGCAAACAGTCGCGTATTTGTCTACAAACGAAATCGTTGACAAATTTATTCACTCAAGTTTATTTAGTTACTACGGTTAGAGCGAGTCAATTTAGTTAATAGACTTCTTAAAAAGGCCCTCGAAAGCGCAGATGTTAAGTTTCAATGTAGCTACTTCTTGCATTTAACCGATAAAACTGTAGCTCAGCACTCAGGCAAGGAAAAATATAAAATACAATCGATCTTACCTGGTCATCTTGTTCGGTTTGTTCCTGTCCCAGCGCATTCAAAATAAGCTTCTTATCATCCAGGTATACCTCCCCAACCGGTTGATACGGCTTGTAAATGACCGATCGATAACCACATTTGCTCATCTGGTGTCTTCGTCGTTCATAATTTTCCCTAGCGACTTCTCGCCGAGCCGGAACTTCGCAAGTGTACATTTTCGCATTTCGAGCTGTGATCTTTAAGCCTTGATGTGAAGGAATGGGCAAAGGCACCGGGCGAACGTAAGAGCGCGGATTGTCAGAATCAGGCATTGTCTCCCCTGAAGGATGAAGCGTTATCCTGACTTCAGAATCGACTCACAATCTGGGGGAATCTCGCCCAGAGATACTTTCCACGTTACGCGCATTACTGCATGTTGCTGAAGACGAGTGTTTGTTCATTGAGAACCTCGTTTGCATAAAATCAAAAGAACAAAGGTTATAACCATGGCAACTGTAAACAATTGCAGTCAGGACACCTCGTGGTTGGCAAAAAAGTAATAAAACAAAAGGAAGTGACTCTGACTGTTCGCTATTTTAAGAACAGTGACTTGAGAGAATACCAAAGGTCCGATAGAAATACAATACAAGGTTTTTGCAGCTGATTTTTAGTGAGAGTTGCTTGGGCGTTCCGTTTTCAGTGATCTTAGGAATAGGCCCTTTGTAGGATCCGGTCACATGGTATGGAATTAATTACGTTGGGACACAAGTTACGCAGTGGGACTTCCAAAACAAAGGAACGTCGGGCTGGACTGGTAAGAGTTCCTTTGTTTTGGAAGTCCCACTGTGTAACTTGCGTCCCAGCATAATTAATTCCGTACCATGTGACCGGATCGTGTAAAGGGTCTATTAGGACTTTATTTTATAGCTGGTTTTCACATGACGTCACTAAAATTCGGACTACAAAACTATTGATCTTCCTGAGATTTTACTTAAATGGTGTATAAGAGCAGCTGAAAACTAATATTCATACAAATTTTCGCTCCGAATGGGTTCTTGGTTTTGTGATAAACAACGCTTGAATTTCTAAACTTTTGCTTGACGCGGCATTTACATGACGGCCTAGACAGATACCATGATGGTTAAAAAAGTGACTTATTTCGGGGAACTTGGCTATCTGAACAGTTCATGACTTAGAAAAAGTATTATTTTAGTGTTTTAGAGTTCCTCGAGGGATAAATTCACGCTTTTGTAGCAAAACTCAGTGACAGA